TGAGGCCGTTTCCTCTCTATGGAGTTGTTCTTCCAGCTCTTCAAATGTGCACCTGTAATGCTGCATGGCAACAGTTTGGCAGAGAGGCTCAGCAATAGTCTGTGCAGCCAACAATTAACCTTCAGTGTTTCTTCAAGTACAGGAATGGAATATATTATGAAGGGAAGAGTGCATCAGATGCATATAGGTGAGTATATATATATATAGGTATGTATATATATGCATCTGATGTGTGTATATACTTATATACATCTCATATATAGATATGTATATACATGGAGACCTGTGTTTCTGTATCTCATGTTTCTCAATACACTGATTCTGTGAAAGTCCAGTAACAGAAGACGACTGTATTAGAGGCTTAGGAATAACAGATGTATGTTCAGATGATGGAACATACCAACAGTATTTCTGCCCAGCAGTTTGCAGGACACTTGTAAACCTGTGTGGCACATACCGAATGATTTTTGTAACTCTTCCCACAGTAAAGTCCAACAGCTTGCAATAGTGATCCCTTAGAGCCACACATCTGGACATGTCTGACAGCTCTGGTAATTACAAAGGAAAACGCATTGTTTGGAGCATGACAAGACTCTGTCTATGTTAACCAATGGCACATTGCAATAGTAATACACCTGAGGGCAGAATACCTGAAGCTCGGTGCCTGCCATCCACGATACACTTTTTGGAGATGCGTACTTTAGACTAGCTCTCCTCTGATCTTGTGGATAGATTGACCATTAACATTCGTAGCACATTGGTTGTGCCTCAGAGCATGTCTTCATGCTTTTAACATGCTTTTATCCATTATCTGACCTTTTATCCAAAAGGAATGTGACTTATGTACTCTGAGACCACTCAGTATTGCATAAAAAGCACAGTAAAAAGGGCCAATTGGGAGATCTGCTTCAAAAGCATACTCCTGATTTGACCTAAAACATTAATGTTTGTGCACCTTAAAACACAGCATATACCCATGCTGGTTTCACGTAAGCCTCACAGGACGGAGAGCAGTAGAGTTCCTAATGTGTCTATTTTTAACATAAAAATTTATTGCAAAAGTTGTTTTTCAGATACTTTTTTATAATGCACATTTTCCATCAACAAGATTGAAGTATTTTTCCAGACGACTGGATCATAAATACAGCAACAACAGGTGAATTAATACCGAGTTCTACAGTAGAAAAGAGGCATAACTCCAAGGTCTGCATTTTGATCAGAGAATGACAGTTAATTTGATCCTACATGTACATAAGAAACAAATGGCAGTGAACCTTTCAAAGTTACTGTGCAAGTGTACAGGAGATATAAAAAGGTTACTTGCCAATCTTTGAGGCTGTGAGTAGAATTTGCAACAAACTCTTCTCCCCTGCCCTGGATTGCTTTCAAGTCTGCCAACTTACTTGCTGGTCCTATTTCTTAAGCCATGTCCATTGAGCCCAAATACACTGAAAGGAAACTATTCATTAGAATACTAAAGGAAAATACAGACCCTTAAACCCAAGAGTTTAAATGTTTTTAACTAATTCTCTTTCCAGAAGGGAAATTTGAAGGACGATTTGCAGAACCATCACTGCAGACAAAGAGTAGGGCAGGCTATAAACTCAGTCCTGAACAGTGACTTTCTACAGTCCTTTCTCATATCTGTGCTGCACTGAAAATGTAAAATCTGTCAGTGGAGACTGTTTTAACCTTGACAATTATCTATTCACATCAAAATGTTTTGGTGCAATAAGCTGACTACTGTCCAGGGCAAACCTAGTTTTGCAGAGTGAATTCCAGGAAGGAAGCAACTCTGAAGCCTCACTGATGCCTGACAAAACTGATACATTTAAGAAAGAAGTTCTCTCCTTAGCTGTTTTTGAATGAGACAGAAGTGACCCATTTTCATAGCACCACAGCAATTAGAAAGGAAACATCCCATGCTCTTTATAACTGTGCCACACTCGTAGCAGTAACAAATCAGGGTGCTGATAGCGCTCTAGTGTGGAGCTGTCAATTGGTATTGCGAGCATCCCGCATTAGAGCACAGTCTTACGAGGTTCTGTGTTACCCTGGGAGCAGTATTGTCTGTGGTCTAAATCACAGAGAACATACATTAAGAAAATGAAGATACTTAATCCAGTGATACACTGTTTTATCTCTTTGAGCGCTGTATTAAGTTATTTTGGAACCTTTGTAAAGGCTGTGTTCAAGGCTGTGCTTAAATTACCACAAGCATCAAAAGAGAGCAACACTACAGGACACTACATTGCACCTTTGAAAAAGTCATACCTGCAGAAAGTGCCAGTGACAGTATCTTTGTTTTACTCAAAGACACAAAGCAGGCATGAGATCTTTTAAATGGTGTTGTGATGCATTATCTTGAAAATAAAGGGGCAGTGAGGTGGAGCGAACTGCAGCCTCCCCACCCCCAAGCTGCTTTCAAGTCTGCCAGCCCATCGGCTGGTTCTGCTGGATTCACTGACAGGTCCAGTATTGTCAGCTTCCTCAAAAGACAGATCCTGGCTTTTAATTCTTGAGCCAGTAGCAACTGCAGAACAAGTTCAAGATTCCCAAGCATATTAGACTGGCTATTTTCTCATCTCCCTCTTGCAGACAATCAGTTCCCTCAGAATCAGAGCTTGCTTCTAAAAAATACGGTCTATGCGTTCACAGGGTACAATGCTGTTAGCTTGAGTTTTAAAGAAATAATTTTGTTGATTTACTAAAACTGGAACAATACTTATTGCTTTAATCTTTATTACTTTGAAATAATGAATAACTAAAGTAAATTCAAGAAGGTTTGCAAATCTGCCTTCTGTTTTTTCTCTTTTTCTTCTAAGTTAAGCATCCGTTTTAGCTTAGAAAAGTGAAATTTGGTGTTTCGGGGAGTCTTGGAAGCAGAGCTGGTTGTTGCCTGTCCGGATACACGTGTTCTGAAAAACAAAAGATGCAAATGTCTTAAAGAACCAGAATTAACACCAAGTAACTATGAAAGTGCATATATATCATTTGATTGAAAAAATTTGAATGTAAATAGTGTATTTTCAGGTGAAACTGAGCAGTTAGAAGTATAACTTTTATGCAGATTTTAAGCTGGACATTTCCCATAAATGACAAAAACATAATTGTGCATTCTTTGCACGTAGTCGCTTTTCTTTAGAATCTCTGATTTTAAAGGCTGGAAAGTTAAAATTGATCTGCTCAATCAGACCACTGAAGAAAAATACTCAGTTATGAATTTAAAGTTTATTAAGTGAGTGATCTGAAGCCAGTACGTGACACCCTTTCCAAACAAGGTGTAACACACTCTACTTGGCAAAGTGCCTCTTTAAATAGGAGAGAAACAGGTACCTGGGAAGTGATAATGGACTGTTCCTTTTAGATCCCAACCTACTGCAGCTTACAGGTGTCACTTTGTTTGCAGACTGCATTTTTACATCTGGTGTCCTCAGGCTAGATTTCATACTTGGAGTGCCAGAATTGTGTGCTCTGGTAGCCAGAAAATCCCTGCTTTTTCCATAATGTCTTGTTGTTTTGTTGCATGAGTTGCAAGTAACCAGCTATGGAGAGAAGAAAGGAAATTTCAACCACCCTTTCAGTCTTCATATTATAAAGAATTATCCAAACTATTCTCCGAATACCATGACACAAATTAAATATTTGCTTAAGTGAAACAGGAGATATTAAAAAGCAACATATACTTGTACACCAAGTATTTTCATTCAGGCTTCTTAAACCAAGCACGTTCTATGGGTTTATCTAGAAATTACTCCAGTCCCCTAGCAACTAATTTCAGGAGACCTGTAACACTGAATGTAATGTTGTACAGTGGAATATGGAAACAAACCCTGTCAAAACAGAAACATGAAACAGCACCTCAACTGGATGTAATCTTTAGTACACATAAGGGTTATTCATATTTTGCTAAAGAACATGACATACAGTGTGATCTAAATTCATTTGCATAATCTACCCTGATGAAGTGATATGACATGCTTTCCAGGGAGTCTTGAGATAAAATATTTAAATTACCAAACTCTCAGAAACAGTCATCCATAACTAATAACAGCAAGCCTTCGTGAACAAAGAAGAGGCTTTCCATTACTGCAAAAATACTTACTACAATACAGAGGAGGTTCTAAACAAAGGGCACTTTCTCTTCTATCTGTTTATTTCTAGGCTGCAGGCAACTTCCAGCAGCACAGTATGTTGCAGAGGTGCATCACAACAGATAATGTCAGATAGTCACAGAGACTGTCAGATATTCCTAATATGCCTAATGACTGCCATGGCAACTACTCTTATTAAAACAGACATGAGAGTAATACAGCCAGACAACTTTCTGAGGCACACAACTACACTGACTGAGAAACACAAGTTACGTGATGTTTCTGGTTAAAAAAAAACACCCTCAAAAGAATGTCACAAAAATGTCTAAGCAGTTTTGAAAACATCTATACCAAATAATTCTTCATTTCTAAGTGTTTAAATTTACCTAAATTCAGATTGCTTAGAAAGAATTACGATTAGAAATACCAAAATTAAAGGTTTTCAGTTAAGTGTTTTGACTATATCTAGGCATTATTTTGTCAGCCTAACAAACTGAAAAAGATCATTAACTTACACAGCTCAGGTACTGATGTATTTTAAGTTTTTCTACATTAAATTCAGATGGGGAAAAAAACCTCAGCATCATATGACAATTTAGCGCTCCACAGAATACAAATTGAGGTGAACATCTCACAGTGCATGAATTAGAGGATTAATCATAGCACTGCACAGCTAGTTTCTATTCCCTGAATTGCATATACAGTTAACTCCAAATATTTTAAAAGCCCTGAAATAGTTTGTAATGTTTTATGTTCTTTTCATGGCAGAAGCATTCGCAAATCAAGTTCTACTTGCCTAGAAAGGTATCAGAGGCACAACCTGTCACATTGTTGCTTGGTTTAACTTTCAACCACACTCAAACTTTCATTTTCGCAAGCCTCAGGTATTAGATAACAAGGATGTACATTGCTAGTTTTGAAGGTTGTCAGTTCCTGGCAGTATTTTAAATACTTAAGACTAGAAATACTTAAATCATAATACACGGCACAAATGCAAACAGAAATGAGAAGAACACAAGTGCAGCAAACTGTAAATACACACCAAGATGAGAATATTACCCAGAATTTAAACTAGACCTACTTAAAACTGAATTTTAAACTATTGATATGAATGCACAGTGCAGCCTACCAACCTCTTCAGCTACAGAATAAATGTAAGAACCCATCACAATTCCCTAGGACACTGTTCATTGGTCATCTAAAGAGACGGTTCTTAACGTATACTAGATGTTTGTGACTCTGCAAGAGAAAAATAAAGCAAAGATTCCAGCTTCTCAGATGCCCTTTCTCTTGCTGTTTTTTTGCTGCTCAACTATGATCTACAATTTGGAGAGAGTAATAGCAAGTGTGCCTTTCTGGAGCACCTTTTTTGCCCTGACAGCTCAGAACCTCTGTGATACTTCCTCAGTTTAATTTTGTGTCATTGACTCTTTACTAATTTTTGGTTTCACAGATTTTGCTCCCCAAACCAGCAGACTCTCATCTGAGAAAATGCCAAGTGTGCCAGCAACTGCTGGGCACAATAGGGTGCTGTCTCATTTATTAAAACAGCTGTTCATATAACCCGTTTTAATAGTAGTGCATGCCTTGGCAACACTAGATTAAGTGTATACTATTATTTACACTATTATTCTTCAAGTAATAGTATACTATTATTTTTCAAATAATAGTAAGTAGTACAAAAAATAGTAATTAAATCTTATATTAATTTTAGAAAAAAGAACCGAAGCCTCAAGAGCAACATTAACTTATTTAAATTACCTGTGTGGTTTGGTTTTGAAAGACTTCCTTTCAACAGTACTATTCAGACAAATGCAAAAAAATTCATTTGTACAGAAGGTAACAATAATCTGATGTAGCCATGATGGTCTACTGAGATAAATGAAGTAAAGCTTGTGAATATATCTATTTTTAGACAACTGATAAAACTGAAAAAAACCTGACAATCTATCAGTCACTCAAGCCCTTCCTCAGAGCTGGAACAAAGGCAGTGAACATCAAGCTACAAATACTGGCAAAACCAGCCTGTCTTCAGTCAATGGCATGTTTTTCTTCTTAGGTATGTTTTGGGGTATTCTTAGCAATGGATTTCTAAGGATTCTAATGGATTTTAGGATCTGCAAGGCGTATTAAGGCTCTGCATTTATGAGAGTTGCCTGGTCCTAGTTCTACCACATTCATAGGAAAAAAAGAACAGGCAAAAAATCTGCTGTTTCTGACATTTTTTGCAAAGCTACGCAAAAGATACGGTAGCTGACAATGGAAATGCCAAAGCTAACTGGCAAGAAGAAATTACCTAATTTTCAGCAAGATCTTAGACATCTGCAGAGTCTACCTAGACTGCTGCTAAAGAGATCAGAGGGAGGGCAGAGCTTTTGTGTAGCTTCTCTGACATGTGGGGTTGGGTTTTTGCGGCATGGGCGGTGGGGAGTGAAGCTTACTGCCCTTATCATTGTGCTCACAATCTCTCTGTTCTGGAGGGTAGGTTCTAAAAATTTTGATTATGAATAGAAGTTATCCCAAAAGAAAGGAAGAGTTATATGCTCATGAAAAAAGAAATGTGTAGGTGTGGGCTCCACTTCTAGAAGAATGATGTCCACATCTTTTTTATGCCATGGAAAGGTTTCAAGGAAATATCAGGTATTTGGCAGTTCCAAGTAAATATCCTTACCAGAGCACTTCTTGACTCCCTGTACTTTTTCAAAAGCTTTGCCTGTTTCATGTTAAGTTTATGGTTCTTCGTTTCTCGTTTCAGAACTTTCTCTATCTGTGGAGTCACTTTCATCTTTGGTTTGAGACGCACCCGGCGGCTATCAGGAACCAGGAACTGGAAGCAGTAAGGACATATCCCTTCTAATTCACATTTTCTATCTACAGATCAATAAAAGTAAAAGAGTAAAACTTAAATGAAATAATTATGTTTTATATGTAAAGCTTAAAATGGTGTGTTTCTATTTTAACATCATCTGGGTAGGTGTGTATGTATGTTTTCATTGTATGTTTCAGATACAAGTAGAACAGAAGAGGAAGATGAGTGCTGGTAAGTGACCCATATGTGCTCAGCCGAGCACAAGTCATGGATGCACAGCATAAGTTTACATAATATGTAATTGTAAATTTTCCGGTAAAACTGCAACTCCTCCTTAAAAATCTTTCACAACGGAGGCTCACAATTCTGCAAGGAGCTCCATCCAGGCACGGTGTTTTGCCAGATTAGTGACACCGAAGCCTTGTAAGCTCTTTGCCCATTTTAAGTGCAAGAAGATGCCAGCATCTCAGCCTGAGATGGAGAAGTGCTTTGAGATAAGGAAGCTGTGGATGCCCCCTCCCTGGAAGTGTTCAAGGCCAGGCTGGATGAGGCTTTGAGCAACCTGGTCTAGTGGAAGGTGTCCCTGCTGATGGCAGGGGGGTTGGAACTAGGTGATCTTTAAGGTCCCTTCCAACCCTGACCATTCTATGATTCTATAAATTTCAGAGCTAATAACAGGAGATGCGCTCCTGCATCTGCCTTACTGCTTCCTGGTGCCAGAGCTGGACGCCAGTACCTCTCTGTCACCCCGGAGGGAACACCGGGGCCCTGCTGTCCGGCCAGTACGGCCCTTCGGCCAGCTG